CAAGCATAATTTTCCCTTATTTCAGTCAACCTGTCCCATTCATAATTTCGTGAACAAGAAAAATTTTATGAGTACTTACCATGAAAAGATCCCAAATTTTATCAAATGTCCTTGTATTCTGACATATATTCAAAGACCACTGCATTATAGGGATACTCTACAAGAGCATTTGAATGATCCTGTTAATATGTATTTAAACTTTGTTAGTAATGTTTATAAATTTTACCAGCATTTTTTAAAATATTTATTTCCTAACACCTTTTCCTCCTCAACCTCCTCCTCCTCCTCCTCCTCCTCCTCCTCCTCCTCATTTTGTACTATCTTTGTTGGATTTTGCTATTAAGGTAAAATATAACTCATATAAAATAAATTGGGAACTATTTGCTTCTCTTTAATTTTTGGAGAAGTCAAGAAATTTTTAGAATTAGTTTATACAATAATATTTTATGTGTTTACTCCATTGATACCCTGGGGTATTTGGAATTTGGGCTGTATTCCTTGGGAACTCAACTTACTGGTGGGGATAAAAGATCATCATCTGGAAATAATGCAAAGGCAAGTGAGGTTATATTTATATAAACACACACTAACAGAGATGATCATACACCTGCATCACCAACGTGCATAAAAGTTCATTCAAACTCATACGACAAAGAGCAGGAAAAAGAAAAAAGATACAGCATCTGCTCCTCTAATCTCCCTACGTGATAGCTTCGTGGACTAGCTCTACCAAAAAGCAACCATCCATGCAACTGGCTTCAGTGAAGGAGGATTTGAGACAATCTCAAACCAGAAAGATAATTTGGTTTTGGTGGCCGGGATGGGAGATTTACCCAGAATTCAACTCAGGAACACTAGACCACTTGCCACATCCCCAGCCCTATTTTGTATTTCATTTAGAGATAGGGTCTCACTGAGTTGCTTAACACCTTATGTTTTTTTGCTGAGGCTGACTTTGAACTGGAGATCCTCCTGCCTCAGCCTTCCAAGTCACTAGGATTTTAGGCATATGTCACCATGCCCAGCTAAAAAGATACTTAGCAAAATGAAATTAAACCTTTATCTCTAACCCTACACAAAAATCAACTCAGAGTGAATCAAAGACTTAAGCACTAGAACAGAGACCCTGCACCTAA